TGCTGTACAAGAGACCATAAAGATAACAATTTCATGAGAAATTGATAAGAGAGAGAAAGATAAGAGAAAAAGGGAAACATCAGAAGTGTTTTCGTTTACCCTGTGGATGCTGTGGAATGGTTAGGGTTCATCAGGAACAGCAATTCTCAGAAAACAGCATATTTAACTTTGACAATGTCTTTCATGGAGTGAAACTGGTCCTACATATTTAGGCAGGGTCATCGCTTGGCCTATTTTTCCTTACCTATGCAGATTATGCACCAAGAGCCTCCTACCACATGGGATAGTTGAGATACTGTAGATGAGAACAGCTAAATAAGTAGAAGTAACCATACAACTCTATACACATTGAAAAAGTGAGAATACATGTACAAATACACTGGAGTGGTTTCTTCCCATACTTTTTCTGAACAATTTTCCTTTTCATTTTTCCAGATTTGCATGGTTGAAAACTCTCACAGAAAGCTTTAGGAAATAGATTTTTTTTTTTACACAGAATTATTCCTGGCTTAATGTAATGTAAATATAGTACCTATTGGCTAAGAAATTTTGAATGGACTTACACTAAACTCTCAGAAAAAAATGAAAAAAAATTGCATAATTTGAAAATAAGTAAGTCACCACGGTAAGTCTTGACGTTCATTACAAGTTTTTCTAATAAGTGCCACTATAAGTGTCATAATAAAAAAGAAGCAGCTTGAATATTCTGTTTCATTTTAATCAGACAGCAGCTGACAAATTATTTTAATGGAATCAAGCTGGTATCATACTTAAACTCTCAAGGTGCTCATTTCCTTTCATATCTTTTCAAGCTCACTCCTTAAATCCCATATGCTAGAGGAAATATTCATATATTCTCTATGTAATTAAAAAATTTAGGATCTCATTTGGTTGTCTAAAGCATAGTCATTAGTTTAGTAAAATACATTTCTTTTGTGCTGTTTTGGTTGTTTGCTTTTTGTAATGCCTGACTTTTACTAATACAGCCCAATATGGCATGGAAATTGCAGACCCCTTGATTTCAGTAAATGCCCACTTAGAAGTGGGAAAAAGACATACATAAACTTGCATGCAAAAAGAAGAACCACTGTGAAGCTTTGAAGGATCTTTAGATTTTATTACTTTTTAGCTTACCCTGTGTTCTTCTGTTCTTGTTTTTATTTATTTTTATTTTTTATTATTATTTTTTTTTAATATATCACCTGCCTTTTTTTTTTTAATAGCAATTTTTAAAAAAGCATAATGGTGAAAATATGTGGAGGGTCCACATCTGTATGTTTATTGACCTACTAAAACCTGAAAATCCTTTTGCAAATGACTGTATGGTCATTATTGGATGCCTTTATAGAAGGTCATACAAACAAATAAATGAATTCTGTAGTCTTTGTTATGTTGCAGATGAGTGAGTTCAGTACCAGTGAAAAGTGGCTTCTCTGCAAAGATCTTCATGAGAGTTGGTGCTCTGAAAAATTGCCAAGTTTTCTTTGGCATTGCAAAGATTAGTACACGTTATTTTCATTTGGAGAAGCCATATGACTTGTCAAAATTGTGCTGATGGGCTCAGAGTTGAAGAATCCAAGAGTTTTTATTTTGCTCTTCTTTGCTGTATGTGCATTAATTATGTTGATAGAAATAAGCATTTTTTTCATTGAGTGACGGCACCTGGTTTTGAGTTTTATTAGCAGTAAGTTACAAGCAGAATTTCTAAAAATCTAAAAATTATTGATTTAAGAAGAAACAGGAATAAGTAATTCCTAGATAGTTTTTGTAATCCAAGCCTAGTTGCTCATAGTCCAGTGTTTTCAGGATTTGATTTAACCTGCTCCTTTTTTATAAAGATAAATGATTATCCTAGTGTCAGATAGTATAACAGAACATTTAGTATACAAATAGTGATTTTTTTCTGACTAACTAAGATTAATGTCCACAAAGAGGAAAAAGAAGTCACAGCTCACACCCTGCTCCTTGTGTTTCTTTAAACAACAAATAACTTTATTATACTCTCTGTTAATAGTTATGGGAGGGGAATGAAAGAGATGGTATTTATATATGCCATATATAGTGATAATCATAGATTAAATTTAGCTCAAATCTATTTCTGTATAATTTGCTTTCTTTTTTCTTAGCTTGCTATACGGATAGCTAAAATCTGTGCTCAGGCTAGCAGTCGATGTTTTAAAAAATCTAAAAGGAAGATGTAATTTTTGTAATGAAGAAAGGTGAATTTATATTTAATAACTCTTTCTGGTGACTCACACAAAGGTGAAATGTTTTAAAGCAGTCCACTGTGTTGCTATGGCCTTACAGACGGGGATTTTTGTGAAACCGATAATGTGCTTTTCTTTGGAAAATATTCTGGACATGTACTGAGGCAGAGGGAGATCAGTAAGTTTCAAGAATACTCCAAACATTGCTTCAGTATTTATGTTTAATTACTATTCACACAACGTTGACTATTTTGTTGCTAAATGTAAAATGTGAACAGTATATATATATTTACTTTACTGGCTTTATGTCTCTTAGAATCATAGAATAATAGAATGGTTTGGGTTGGAAGAGACCTTTAAGATCATCTAGTTCCAGCTCCTCTGCTATAGGCAGGGACGCCTCCCGCTTGACCAGGTTGCTCAAAGCCCCATCCAGCTTGGCCTTGGCCTTCCCATCCACAACCTCACTGGGCAACCTGTTCCAGTGTCTCACCACCCTCACAGTAACAAATTTCTTTCTAATATCTAATCTAAATCTACCCTCTTCCAATTTAAAACCATTCCCCCTCATCCTATTGCTACATGCCCTCATGTCCCTCCCCAGCTTTCTTGTAGGCCTCCTTCAGGTACTGGAAGACTGCTGTAAGGTCTTAGAGCCTTTTCTTCTCCAGGCTGTCTCAGATTGTCCTCATAGGAGAGGTGCTGTAGCCCTCTTACCATCTTTGTGGCTCTCCTCTGGATCTATTCCAACAGCTCTCTGTCCTTGTGTTCAGGGGCCCCAGAACTGGATGTGGTACTCCAGGTGGGGGTCCATGAGAGCAAAGAAGAGGGGCAGAATCATCTCCCTCAATCTGCTGGTCATTCTTGATGCAACCCTGGATATGGTTGGCCTTCTAGGCTGCAAGTGCACATTTCTGGCTCACGTTGAATCTTTCATCAATATATACACCCAAATCCTTCTCCTCAGGGTTGCTCTTAAGCCATTCTCCTCCCAACCTGTATCTGTGCCTGGACCCAGATGCAGGATCTTATACTTGGCCCTTGATGAACTTCATGAGGTTGGCATGAGCCCACTTCTCAAGTGTGTCCAGGTCCTTCTGGATAGCATCTTTTCCCTCTCATGTGTCAACTGCATCACTCAGCCTGATGTCATCTGTAAACTTGCTGAGGGTGCACTCGATCCCACTGTCTACATAACCTACATAGATATTAAATAGCACCCCTGCCAGCACCAGTCCCTGAGGAATACCACTTGTCACCAGTCTCCACTTGGACACTGAGCTATTGACCACAACTCTCTCAGTGCAATCATCTAGCCATTTCCTTATCCAGCAACTGATCCTTCCATCTGTATGAATCCTTCTTTGCTTTCTGGCTCAAAGTTTGCTTCCTGAGTTATTTCTTGTGATAAGACTGACTTGTCTAGGAAATGACTGATGGGTGTTCGTGTGGCAATCACCATCATTGAGTGGACAAGCTGTTTGCCTTCGGAAGATAGTGCTCAGGACTGTTTATTGGTGGAAGATCTAGCCTGTGACCAAATAATTTCAGCTTGCTATGGGAGACTGGGGGATGATGCTATTGTATCCTGTGAAGGCAAGATACAAGTTGGTGCCTCCCTGCTCCCTCTTATGTGCTGGCAAGATAGGAACAAAGGAGTGTCGCTGAGATCCCAAAAGCTGCCACTCCAAGGAGAGCTGACTCAACCACTTTTGGTTTGAGCTGTCACTCCAAAAAAGAACTGACTCAACCACTTTGGACTTATAAATAAGTTTGTACTACCCTGAAAGTTGCCTATCATCGCCATGGTCACTGTTATCATCAATAGAACAATAATGCCTGACAACTCACCACTACTGAGGATCAATGACTGAACTATGAACCATGCTGGATCCATGGTGTGACTATCTTCTTCTTGCTTCCTATAAACACTCCTTGCTTCTTCTTTCCTATCCTTTCTATTGCCCTCCTTCCCTTCCCCATTACCCTAATTCATAATAGTGTCTGTCCTCCCCTTCCCCATCTCCAAGATTAAGATCTGTAATAAACTGGTTAGATCAACATTTGAACCGTTGTTTCTTAATCTCATGCTGGGTATACAGATACTAAAAAGAACCTCCTCTCCCTCCTATAAATTGGAGTGAGACACCATCAAATCCATTTTTCTCCAATTTGGTAACCAGGATGTTGTGTGGGACAGTGTCAACCACTTTGAGTCCAGGTAGATGGCGTCAGTTGTTCTTCCTTTATTCAGTGACACTGTAACTCTATCGTAAAAGGCCACCAAGTTTGTCAGGCATGACTTGCCCTTGGTGAAGCCATGTTGTTTACCACGAATCACTTCATCTTTATTTTCCATGTGCCTCAATAGGGCCTTCAGGAGGGTTTCTGCTCCATGATTTTGCCAGGCACAGAGATGAGACTTACTGGAATTTAGTTCCCTGGATCTTCTTTTCCTCCCTTCTTGAAAATGGGTGTTATTTTTTTTTTCCTTTTCCAGTCAGTGGGAACTTCACCAAACTGCCATGATCTTTCAAACATGATGGATAGCGGCTTTGCAACTTCATGAGCCAGTTCCCTCATACCCTAGGGATGAATCTTGGCAAGTCTAATGAACTTGTACACCTTCAGGTTCTTCATATGGTCTTGAACCTAATCTTCACTTACAGTTGGCAGGTCTATCTTCTCCAAATTCAACTTGGGCGGTGTGTCTAAGGCCCCTGTTGGTGAAGACTGAGGCAAAGAAGTAATTTATACATATCTTGATAGATCTCAGCCCAGCCACTTTTTTTCATGGATTATAATTTCCTTGTGACCAGCAGTCTTTTTCCATTAATCTGAAAAAAAACAGTCTTGTACTTAGTATTCCTGCTTATTCTGCCATTCATTGTACTTTGCTATTGCTTTACTATTTAGTAAAATAGTATATTTACTAAATATTTTCTTTCAAAAAAACTATAAATTTTCTATATTTTGGAGATATTTAAGGGCTTTGATTCAGCTTAAGTATTACATTGCCATATTTTGTTTGAGACCTTAGTTGTTCATCCGTCCTAAAATGTCTTTAAATGTAGATCATTCCAAAAGTAATCTCTCCTTATTATTTCCATAGAAACTGCAGCAGATGTAAAGAACAAAATAACACTGGTTGATAGAGCAAATTCTCACCTATTTTTCACCATTATCCCATTCCCATGAATGAGCTGTTTAAAATACTCTTCATTTTGTGACGTGACAGCTGTCCATGGCCATCTAGAATGTGGTTTGTCTATTACATCACTATCTCCACTGCTGAAACTCATCACTCACTACTTCACTGTGCTCACATCCGCTGTTTGGTCTCCAGAAACATTCAACAAACGTTGATGAGTGTCAATGATTGCCATTTTTTTTCTGCATGGAAGAAATCAATTCCTCATCTTTTCTCCTTGTGCACTTCCATCTTAGACACCATATTGTCACTGCCCCTCTGTTGCCATCTTTTCACACGGCAACAAAATGTTCCACATGTTCCAACAGCAACAGAATATGGTTGGGAAATTTCAACCTCTACTGCCAACATCCACCTCTGATGTCATGGGTCAACAAAATAAAACAGAAGGCAGTATTTCCACAGCAGTCCTTGTATGTCTTGGTAGTAAGATTGAAATTAAGACCTAGCATAGAGTACAAACTCATTTTCATTCCATGAGAAAGCTTCTTGAATTGTGACCCTAGACAGATCATATTGAATCATGCCGCTAGTTTTGTAGGCAAAATGCTTCAGTTCTATGCTATATGGATTTGCAGAAAATTGTAATTAAAACAGGCAGGATTTTATTCATACAAACTCCTCTTTGTTTGCTAATGTTTTTATAGCCAGAATCACATCTCTCTTAGCACATACTTAATTGAATATAAATAAGTCATGAACGGCCTTACTTCATGTCCGTAAAAGCATACTAAAAGGCAAATACAAGTCATACATTTTGTTAATGCAGAAAGCATAAACACTATGGAATTAATTTTAGTGCCTAAGTGTTAATTTTCAATAACCTTTGTTCCATACGTTTATAATTATTATCTAAATATTGTCACTGGTTATTGGGTGATTAACACATTTTAATGATAAGAAGTTTCAGACATTAATAATAAAGGGGGGAGGGGAGAAGTGGGAAAGGGGAGGGGCTGTAGGATTTTTGTTGTTGATTTTTTTTCCCCTGATAGCATTATTCCCATTCCTTCATTGGAGAATATGGATAACAAGAATATCACAATTTAGACAAATATAGTTATCTGTCTAACTATAACAAATATAGTTATTAAAACTTTTAAAATTTCAGCAGAGCAGACAAATGGTCTCAACTGTGTTCCCCATTTACCACTCCTTAGTAAGAGTGAATATTGAGCTGCTCCTGTCCCAGAGGGTCTGGTGAAAGTTTCATATGGAATAAAAAATGGAATAGAAAGGGAAATCTCTGCCATCAGCTTCATCAGAAGTCACTGTGACACAGGGAGAAACTGAACTGTTTACAGCTTAATAAATTAGCTTATAAAATGTGTACTTTTTTGTATTGTGCTTAAAGAAACATCCCTGTTTCAGTTCTGGATTATTCTGGAGAAAGAAGTTTCTTGTGGATTAGAGCACACCTCCTTGTTAGTTTGATTTTTTAAAGCTCAAGATTGATTTGGTGAGGTTCTGGAACAGGTTACCCAGAGAGGTTGGGTGCCCCATTCCTGAAGATGTTTAACACCAGGCTGTGCAATCTGATCTAGTACTTGACCTAGGGTTTGGCAAATCTGCCTGTGGCAGGGGGGTTGGAACTTGATGATCCTTGAGGTCCCTTCCAATTCATTCAATTCTATGATTTCTATTATTTCTATTTCCATTTTCTCACTTGATTCTTATTTTTGCGGTACTAGATTGTGATTCTTTTCTTGGTCCACCCACGTTTCAGCAGCTTCTCCCACTAAATAGACTTCTTGTGACATGGGTACTAAAGCCAGACACAGATCATTGGCCCTGGGGTTTCATCATGATATTACAATTGGGAAGATTCTCTCCCTCTCTGATTTTTTAAGAGCCAAACATAAATTTTCTCATATTCTAAAGTACAGGGTTCTGGAAAGAAGATGAAGAAGGTGGCATAAGTAAATGTAAAATGACTAACTCAAATCTTTTTATTTTAAATTAATTTTGTAGGCAGCTGTACCTCAAAATGAATAAGCTGAACTATCAAAATTATATTAAGAAAAAATCATTATCACAATACCAGGCAAATCATTAATTCAATATCATTATAAGTCCTGACTGTGGAAAAACATTATTAACTTTAATATTCTAAGTTTTACCTAGTCTTCAGTATCCAAGTAATTTCTCTATTCCCCAAATATAATACATCAGTAATTTAATATTCTATGTATAAAAATGAGGTACTATTTTCCTCAAGCTGCAGTGAAGATTATCCAATAGGCAATAATAATAACTAAAAAAGTTGTTTCTCAGTTCCTAAAGGATGGCCTCGACTTTTAGAATTTTATACACTATCTGTCAGAAATACTGCTGGAAAGAATTCCTGGTTAAAAAAAAAAAAAAAGTATTTGTGTTTCTATCTGAATTTTGGAGTAGTTTCAGGGTAATGCTAAGCACATGGTTGTTTTTTAACTCATTAACTAATGCAAAATTAAGAAATATATGCAATCTCTTGAACTGGATTTTTTTTTTATAATATTTTACTATGAAAATAAAAACTACAAAGACAATAAAACTACTTTGGGTAAATGCAGATAAAATTCTTCATCTAATTTCATGGTCTCTTAAATATCTTTTTGCAAGATTAAAAAACCTCATTCAAAATTTTAAAAAAAGTTCTTTGCTAATTTTGAATGGAAATGTATGGCAATGAATAAAAATTTAATTTTGAACAAAGCCAATATGAAATGACTTTAAAATTTTCAGAAAATTTTCTAATCCCTCTTTTTATAGTTGAATCTTTTGCTTTTATTATTGTGCTGAATATTTTTGAATCACTTTGCATTAGATAGCTTGTTTCAAAAGCACAGAACTTGTACTGAAGACACCTGTTCTGTTCTTGTGTCCAAAAGTCACTGTGCTTCAACTCCAGAGCAGCCTTCTAATACCAAAGTCATTCATTGCATTTGTACTGTACAACATAAACTTTATTTTCATTGACTTGTTTCTGTAAAATCTTATTAAAAATGTTGTATAGAAGAGAAAGCTATTTGAGTTCACCTCTACTCTTAGATGAAATACCTTGTAGATGCTTCTTGTTCCAGGAAATCAGATTTGGCCTGGCACTTAATGCTGCCATATATCTTTTATAGAAATCAGACAGGTCCTGGTTATGTAAGTGAAAGAGTTATTTTAGACTTCGATGTTTCTGAAAATATATCTGAAAGGTGAGTTTATCTGCTCATTTATACTTTTATACACACATTAACTGTACTGCCTTTTCTCACTAACAAACATGTCTCTATTCTTTCCACCGCAAGAAATGAGGACAGGCTCAGATGCATCCAGATCAGATGTCTGCATTTACTTCTGGTGATTTTGACAATGAATGAAATGTCAGTGAAAAAAAAATTGGAAGGACAAAGGACAGCATAGTCCATACAAATAAGACATGGTGAATCAATTATTTTCTTGTCTGCCTCACTGCTTTTTGAGACCTCAGTACCATACAACATATTCCCGATGTCTTTAGTTGTACTTCAAACTAGTAAGTGTGATTATTTCATGAAGGGAAGATGGAAGAACAGCCAGTTAATTTGCCAGTGCAACTTTCTCTATATCCTCTCTCTAAAGGGCACCAGCTGTCTGCTGTAGACACAAGTTGCTTGTTATCTGAGTTCAGCAGCAGGTCAGTTCTTTTCTCAGTAGGTTTCACTAGTCAGTTTCAGCTACTACAGCAGTTTTTTGTTTCCCTTCCCAGGAGGAGGAAGTAAAGAAATCCAAAAGCACAATTAAGGTTCAACAAGGGGATGGGGACCAAGGGAGTAGTTCTATAAAATGGCATGTTAGCCAATGTTTGTACCAAGGTATTGAGGAAAAAAGTCTATGGAAATGGAGCTCTGAAATTGCTAACACTGATATACACATTCTCTGAAGAAATAGATGGCTACTTCAAAATTTCTTATCATAGTCTGAAACAAGTTCAAACCCACTGACAATAACTTCAAGGATCATGCCATCCCATCTCTTCCAGCAAGATTCCATTTAGCCATGTTTATTATCAGGGCTACTTTTCTATGGAGACTATATACTATATAATTATATATATATTTATAGGTATGTTTTTATATATAAAATACAGAAACTATAGGTATATATGTGTATTTCTATAACATTTTATAAAAACAAATATGTAATATAAATATAGAATATATGGTGAGATATTTTACGTATATGTAACATGTTTCAAACCTTCTTATACTCATATTTTGGGAAGAAATCTACTCTCACCTGGCACTTTTTGTGAGCTTGCATCCTAGACCTTTGTATCTTCTTCCTCCTGTTCATTTATGATCATTACTGGATTTTCTCCCTCCAGTCCTAACAGGAAAAGAGCATACAACTATTCTCCCAATCTTTCTGACACAAACTCAAAGGCAGAATCATTTCATCTTAATCACTATTGACTAAGAGGACACCAGAGACTGTTTCATTCTTTTCTCCCTGTTATCCCTTTCTCTGAGCTTTTTGATTGTTGCCTTGCTTCTCCTTTTATCCCATCTCTCCCTGATTTCTTTCTGACAGTACTTTTGCTTTTAAAAACAGATCTCTTTAAATTCTAAGGAGGGAAGGACCTCACTGTGGTGAACATTGCTCCTGTATTAATTGTGTTACAGTAGCTTTACTGACTGGAGTTAGTGCTTTAACTCATTATCTTTGCCTTCTCTCATGTGAAGTGTGTGACGAGGATCTCTAGCATTCTGCTGTTCCACTAGAGGCTGATAATGCTGTAGCTTTCACAAGAAAGAAAACTGGAAGCAAGAGTTAAAATTAGGTATTCTCCTTGTATCTGACTAGCACCAGAAAATCTTATAACTAGTGTTAGATCTCATAGTCTTTACCTACAAGTAGGAATTGTCAGTTTATCATAGTTTTGTCTTGGGCAAATGGATTTCTGGCTTACAGGACAACATAAAAAGCATAATGTTTAGTAATTTCATTGTGTTCTCATCATCATTAATAAAGAAATTTTCTGTATTATGTGTCCATAGCAATCTTTCTTATCCAAGAGAT